CACATGAGCGGCCCGGTTGACGCATACGGTGCGCAGCCCGCAAGGTTGCGCATGAAGATGATCAGGTCAGACACGCTTCCATATTCAGTATACAGCGCAAAGGGCATGGTTGATTTTTGTATGGAGTACATAAAACACCCAAGCCCCAGCCCTGCAGGTACGTGGTCATGCAACGGTTGTTACATGTATGGGGGCTACAACGACGGCGCAGCGAAACACTCTGACACGGACGTACCAGGCTGGGCAACTGTAGACGAACTTAATGGAGGCATCGAATATGCTGCTCCGACTGCGCATTCAACCCAGCTGTATTGCGTTAGGATCAAAGCCCCGTGGACGCCAGAGCCGAAAGAACATCCCCTGGCGCACGTGGACTCCGAGCCGGATTCTGATGATTTGTTGTTTTGCACGGGCAAAAATGGCAAAAAGAAGATGTTCATTGAAACCAGATTCATAGCGTGCAGGTGCCTCCCATGCAGAAATCGCGAAAATCAGGGCACCATACTATCCGGCGAGCCAGTAGCCCCGCTCGAGTGTGATTATCAGCACTGTTGTGGCACTCCGCGGTACGCGCAAGTGCTAGGCCACAGAGCTACCACGCAAGCACAGAAAAACAAGGAGCAAATCAGGAAGACACAACACACACGCGAAAAAATAGCAGCAAAGAAACGTAAAGAAGCACTACGAAACTACGCTTGAGCTGGCACCTGAAACTCCACTAGTCACGTTCCCAACCGACCTCGCTCGCCTATCCCCCAACCTACTTACATTTTTAGCGCATGCATCCTAGTCCTCCGAGCAAAATAGAACTAGCTTCAAAATCTCAACTCCGTTCGGGGGAGGACACGTTATATGGTAGTGCTTGGAATCAAGACACCGTCGCCCGGCTGCTTTAAAGGCAGCCACACCTACAAAAGTTCCATCACAACACACAACCATGAAAACGTACTTTGGGACATGTTTGAGACAAAGGTAACGTCCGGATGTGAACTCCACTTTTTTCCTGAGCATACTCTTCGGCACCTTCACTTTCATCGTGAGTATCACTTCTAGAAAGAACACAGATTATGGCGACATCATTGGCATTGTGTAAATCGAGATGCTCCTCAAAACATGCGTGTTCTGAAGACTGCCGGAGCACGTGCAAGTCCATGAGCGTCAAATGAAACCCGAGCACACGGACACGTTCTAGAATTGTGTGCAGTATTTGCCGCAGACATGGAAACAATTTCGATTCCCGCGCTCGCCCTGAGCTAAGATTAAAGGCAACTTGTCTGGGCATTCTCCTGACGTGAGCAGGAAACGCATCCGCATCCTCGTCTTGTAGCACACCGTACTCGAAGCCGTGTCAAAATTGTTTTGTGCGAATCTTCACATTATCCCAGTTGCGCACAATCTCATCAGAAGCAGCACGAAGTGCACCAGGCTCCAGACCATAGGGAGCACCAACAAAGTCAAGGGAGCCACCGTAAGAACCGAATGGAGTCGGCCGCACCTCGAAATTACTTTGAGGAATGTAACGCAACGCGGTGGTCATTATGTTCACCGCATGCGCCGCGTTACCGTCGGTAAGCTTGTGCAAGAACCTGTGCAACTCACCCTCCATCGCGCGCAGCTCATCCGGCCCGACATCATCGCAAGCAGCGGCCGCGCGAGAAGCGCCTTGTGGCATGGCGTCACGCCCGGCACGGGGCGCCCTTCCGCAGCCCGCGGGGCCCCGAACGCCCCGGGCGGGCCGAGCTAGCACAGCGGGTGGGTCACGAAGCCCACCGGAGGTCCTCGGGCAGCGATTCCACGCTAAACGCCCACCATCGTCTAAGCCGCCCTAGACGATAGACTAACGCGTCCTTAGCGAATAAAGATTGTCTGTTTCTTCCTTTCTATTCCACGCATACACAAAACGAACGGTTCATTATTCGGGATTCGGACAAATGATAATTGAGGGGGTTGAACGATGGTCGAACGATATCTGACGCTGCGTTCGGCATGTTCCGGGCCACTGTGGAAGAAACTGAGAGCACTTCGCTGTACAAACTTGGGGTCGGCGGTCTCGAAAAGTCACTCCATGTCGAGCTAGAGGCAGCAGAAGTCGAACACGCCACGGTGGGCGCGTCGCGCGGCGCTGGGGGGCGGGGAACAGAGATCTCAGCTTCTGCGTGTTCCCCCACGAGACGGACTGAAGTTTCAGGATCTCTGACCCCGAGTTCCTACTGCGAACTACTCTCGTTTTCTTCCCCTGTGAACCATAACATGCCCAACGCAGCGCCAGAGATCGTTGGACCATGCTCGAAACTCAGAGCTCTGAAATCTCGCCCGACCAATGGGATCAGCGGATTGGATTCTTGGATAATATATTTCGTTCTATTACCGAGATAGCCTTTCGAAACTCGTCGAGGCGGGCGTCACGGCCGCAGATGTACGCGTGGGGCGTCATCGGCAGCCGGAGCGCGCCGCGCCGCGCCGCGCGACTCGGAGGAAAGCGTGATCCCCGCCGCACACTGTGGCACGTAGCCTCGTGGCAGCCTTGCGCCGTCGTCGTCGTCCTCGTCATGGCGACGGAGTATGCGGCCGTCGCGGGTCTGGACCTCTTCGACGACGGCGTCGAGAAGCCGGCGTGGTGGCAGACGATGAGCGACGATAGGGAGATAACTACGCCGCAGCTCAAAACCACACCGCTGTCCACGGGGTATCTGTGCGGTCTTGCCCGGTCGCCGCAAGGAGCAGGCCATCGTCTGGCTGAACAGCAAGGGCCGGGAGGAGACGACGCTGACGTTCGGGGCGATCTGGGCGCGGGCCGAGGGCATCGCGGGCGCCCTCGGCGGCGCCTGGGGCCGGCGGCCGGGCAACCGCGCGATGGCGTGCTACGCGCCGGGGCCGGCCCGCGTACGGGAAGGTTCACCTGATCTGTTGCGGCGAGCATCAGGCCGTTGCCGCAG